ACAATAATGATTGAGAGACAAGGCAGCTGTGAACCTTTAATCATGACTCACAGAGTATGCTTTGATGAGGTTCAGCAGTGACTGGTGTAAAGCTGCATCCTCCTCACTCAGCCCATCCTCCACCCGCACCAATACCACGTTTACGCCTTTCCCGGCAGCACCAGCAGTCGCAGCGTCAGCAGCAGCAGCAACAGAAGCGACAGCTCTGACCAACAGACAAGGAACCCTTAAACCTTCAACTTACGGAGTATGCTTTGATGAGGTTCAGCAGTGACTGGTGTAAAGCTGCATCCTCCTCACTCAGCCCATCCTCCACCCGCACCAATACCACGCCCGCACCTTCCCCGGCACCAGCAGCAGCAGCAGCAGCAGAGGCAGCAGCAGAAACAGCGGTAGCGGCAGCAACGGCATTGGCAGCAGCAGTGTCAGGAGCAGATTCAGCAGCAGCAGCAGCAGCAGCAGCAGCAGATGCAATCTGTGCTGCTTCCCGGGCCTGCCTCTCTGCTGCAGCAGCCATCAGCTTAGCCACTTTCTCAGCAGCCACAGCAGCAGGGGGGCGCTTAGGGGAGAACGCTATAGAGGGGACAGATGCCCCGCTGCCTGATGCTGCTGCTGCGCCCTGTTCTCCCTCCTGGTTACCCTGCTGGTTACTATCGCCATGCCATTTCTCCTGCTGTTGCTGCTGCTGCTGCTGTTGCTGCTGCTTCAGGAGGAGTGCTTGTGCCTGTTTCTCCCTCCACTCTAGCACCACACAGAGAGTGTCGCGGTATACCTCTCTGGGGTGACGGGAGGAAAGAGGAGGAATGGGAGGGGCAACATGATCAAGAGGAGAGGGAAACGTGAAGAGGAGATGAGAGAAGCTAAGGGGAGGAGAGGAAGGTGATGGAGAAGAGAGAGCGGTGAAGCAGAGGAGAGAGAAAGAGCTTGGGAATAAGATGAAAACGTACGCAGTGGGAGGCGCAGAGGCAGCTCGTTCCTTGAGCAGCGTGTAGCTGGTGCGGTTGATAAGATCGTCCTGGTGTGGAGGAGAAACAAGACATCAGAAATCATGGAGTCACCGCACCGGGCACATAAGACGAGTTCATGAACATACTAGAACAATGAATTATAGCACACTGGACCAAAAAAAAAAAAAAAAAAAAAAAAAAAAACTCACTTCTCAGGGTCAGGTCAGAGCATACCATACCTCAGGATCGGAAAACGCCATAGCTCAAGATCGGAGCACGCCATAGCTCAGGTTCGGAGCATGCCATACCTCAGGGTCGGAGCATGCCATGGCAATCCAAGAGGGACCCCTCTGGTCGGCAGAAATGAGTCCAGCCGAGAGAGACTGGCTCAGATGGCTGCGATGACACGCCTGGTGGGATCAGAAGAGGGATAGAATTGGGGGAGAGGGGGAGGGGGGGGGGAGATGGAATGCGGAACAGGTGGATGGATGGGTAGACAACATGACGGCCCTCTCTGGTCGGCTCGGATGAGCCCAGCCGAGAGAGGGTGGCTCAGATGGCTGCGATGACATGCCTGGTGGCAGAAAAGGGGGAGGGAGGGGGGAGAGCGGGGAATGGAGGGCCAGGGAAAAGGTTCATCAGACAACATGAGGGGCGTCTGTGGTCGGCAGGGATGAGTCCAGCCGAGAGAGACTGGCTCAGATGGCTGCGATGACACGCCTGATGTGATGACACGCCTGATGCGATGGTGATGAGGGAGAGGAGGGAGTGTGGGGGAGGCAGGAGAGAGTGGGGATGGGAAGAGTGACCAACATGAATGAGTGCAACAGGGCGATCCAGGAGCGACTTACTATATCCAGCCATTGGTCCTCCGGACCCATTCCTGACCCATTCCGGACCCATTCCTGACCCATTCCTGACCCATTCCTGACCCATTCCTGACCCATTCCTGACCCATTCCTGACCCATTCCTGACCCATTCCTGACCCATTCCTGACCCATTCCTGACCCATTGCTGACCCACTCCTGACCCATTCCTGACCCATTCCTGACCCATTCCGGACCCATTCCTGACCCATTCCGGACCCATTCCTGACCCATTCCGGACCCATTCCTGACCCATTCCTGACCCACTCCTGACCCATTCCTGACCCATTCCTGACCCATTCCGGACCCATTCCTGACCCATTCCTGACCCACTCCTGACCCATTCCTGACCCATTCCTGACCCATTCCTGACCCATTCCTGACCCATTCCTGACCCATTCCTGACCCCCATAATATATAGAAACTTAACCAATACTATTGTGAAATTTTTATATGCTGAATGGCCAGACGCACCTCTGGAAGAAACTCGCTGTTACCACCAGCAGCGTCAGCACCATCAGAGGCAGCAGCAGCGGCAGCAGAGGAGGGGTTGCTGGGGATGATGCGTTTCATCCTCTCCCACACGCGAATTATCCTCTGCCCGCCTGTCGTCGCCGCCTCTGCTGCTGCCTTGGCCGCCCTCTCCCCACTCGACGCACGCCGGGCTGTGGGTGGAGGAAGGAGATGGGCGGGGTAGGAAGGAGATGGGCGGGGTAGGAAGGACTCACTAGCAGCAGCAAGCAAGGCGAGCAGCAGCACTAGCAGCGTAGCACCAGTCAGTGCACTGACTGACCCACTTTGTCATCACATGACTGTGGATGGTGGGAACTTTTTTCTTCAGAGAATTCTCAAAAAACAGATGCAGCACCAGTCAGTGCACTGACTGACCCACTTTGTCATCACATAACTGTGGATGGTGGGACCTTTTTTCTATAGAGAATTCTAAAAAAAACAGATGCAGCACCAGTCAGTGCACTGACTGACCCACTTTGTCATCACATAACTGTGGATGGTGGGACCTTTTTTCTTTAGAGAATTCTCAAAACACAGATGCAGCACCAGTCAGTGCACTGACTGACCCACTTTGTCATCACATAACTGTGGATGGATGGTGGGACCTTTTTTCTATAGAGAATTCTAAAAAAAACAGATGCAGCACCAGTCAGTGCACTGACTGACCCACTTTGTCATCACATAACTGTGGATGGTGGGACCTTTTTTCTATAGAGAATTCTAAAAAAAACAGATGCAGCGCAAGTCAGTGCACTGACTGACCCACTTTGTCATCACATAACTGTGGATGGTGGGTCCTTTTTTCTTTAGAGAATTCTCAAAAAACAGATGCAGCACCAGTCAGTGCACTGACTGACCCACTTTGTCATCACATAACTGTGGATGGTGGGACCTTTTTTCTATAGAGAATTCTAAAAAAAACAGATGCAGCGCCAGTCAGTGCACTGACTGACCCACTTTGTCATCACTGTGGATGACGTCACTGGGGATGGGCATGAGCTTACAGAGTGGGTCAGTGCCAACAGCGGTAGAGCCAGCAGCAGGACCAGCCGCAGCCACAGCTGCAGCAACAGCAGCAGCCGTTGCTCCTCCAGCGCTTGAACCACCACCGAACCCACCACTGACGCCACCAATGCCACCAGCAGCATCACCAACAGCACCGCCAACGGAAGCAGATGCAAACCCAATTGTAGCACTGCCAGAAACTAAACCACTCTCCTCGTCCTCCTTGTCCTCCTCCTCCTCACCAATCCCTCCCTCTCCTCCACTCTTCACCCTGCCCAATTTCCTCCCTTCCATCACTGGACCACCATACACCCGCGTGGACTGGGACACTTGCAAAACCGGCCTATTTTCATACAGAGTTTCCCCTGATCCATCAGGGGCAGAGCTCTTTTTACGCCGCAGTTCCCCCTTGGCAGCGGCGGCGGCGGCGGCAGAGGCAGCAGCAGGGGGCAGGGACTTGAACTGAGGCATTTCGACGTCTAGCTTGGCTTGGAGCATGGCGGCTGGGTCGTTGGTTGGCGCCCACACGCTCCTGCTGCTGGCTGCCGCTAAGGAAAAGGGTGAATGGGAGGGGGGAAGGAAATTGGGGAGAGGGGAGAGGCAGCAGCAGCAGGGGGGCGGGACTTGACTTGAGGCATTGCGACATCGAGTTTCGCCTGGAGCATGGCTGCTGGGTCGTTGGTTGGCGCCCACACGCTCCTGCTGCTGGCTGCTGCAGAAGAATTGAGGGTTGGGGCGGATCGAGTGCAGGGGCATGGATGGGGGCCTTAGAAAGAGCATGAAGGGGCAAAAGGAAGGAGTTGATTTGGCGGTGCCTTGAAGTGAAAAGTAAAACAAAAAACAAAAACGAACACTAACTGCAATGACCAGCAGTATGGCTGCTGGGTCGTTGGTTGGCGCCCACACGCTCCTGCTGCTGGCTGCCGCTGGAGAGAAGGGGTGAGAGGGGGGAAGGAGAGGTGGAGACTCGAAAATGCACTCACCAGCAGCAGCAGCAGCAGCAGCAGCAGCAGCAGCAGATTTGGGTGTGCCTTACAAATGCACTCACCAGCGGCAGCAGCAGTGGGTGTGCCTTGAAAATGCACTCACCAGCAGCAGCAGCAGTGGGTGTGCCTCCGCCTTTCTTCTTCTGCTGCTGCTGGGCCGCTACCAGCTCGTTCTGTCGCTCAATCTGCCAGAGGAAGGGGGAAGGGTGAAAACGCTAGGGGAATGACTGACTGAGAATATCTTATGAGGCGCCTCAAAAATTTTGAGGCGCCTCAAAACTCAATCTGCCAGGGAGTGGGGTGGGGGAAGGGTGAAAACGCAAGGGGAATGACTTGACTGAGAATATCTTACTCACGTGCAGCAGCAGCAGCAGCTGTTCCCTCAGCTATATCTCTCATTCTCAAACTAAACTAGATAAGATGAATCGTTACTCACATACAGCAGCAATATCTCCTCCCTCAAATACACCGTCGACACTTTATGTTCTCCGGGCGTGTCTCAGTTTGGGTCATAGAAGCCCACTTTGGGTCATAGGACGACCAATGGTATTCGAGTAGTGTAGCTAAAATGCGCCCTATTGGTCGTCCAAGAATCTCGGAGGACCCAAACAGTGCCTATAACCCGAAGTGAGACACGACCTCAAACAAATAGAGCATAGAGCAGGTGTTATGAGAGCAGGTGCTATGAGAGCAGTGTGTTATGAGAGCAGGTGTTATGAGAGCAGGTGTTATGAGAGCAAGTGTTATGAGAGCAGGTGTTATGAGAGCAGGTGTTATGAGAGCAGGTGTTATGAGAGCAGGTGTTATGAGAGCAGGTGTTATGAGAGCAGGTGTTATGAGAGCAGGTGTTATGAGAGCAGGTGTTATGAGAGCAGGTGTTATGAGAGCAGGTGTTACGAGAGTAGGTGTTATGAGAGCAGATGAGCGCAGATAAGCTCTCACTCACATGCAGCAGCAGAATCTCCTCCCTCAAATACGACATCCACTCGTGCCGAGCAGCCATCGCAAACAGTGCCTCCTTCTCCTCCTCACTCACCCCTCCCCTCTCTCCTCCCCTCTCCTTCCCATCCTCCCCTCCCCTTCCTCCGCCTCCCCCTGTCCCCCTCCCCACGCCCCCGTTGGCCCCTCTTCCCCGCCCGCCCTCCCCACCACTAGCACCAGCAGCGCCACCATTACCACCAGCAGAAGCAGCAGCAGCAGCAGCAGAAGCGGCAGTGTCTCGGCGGCGCACTATACGGATGTCATTGCCTGCCAGCAGCGTTGTCAGGGCGTCTGTGCCGCTGACTGTGCTGGTGCTGATTGTGGGACGAGTAACAACTGGGGGAACGGGGGGAGGGAGAGAGGAGGGCAGGAGATAGAGGGGTCTCGGCAGCGCACTATACGGATGTCATTCCCTGCCAGCAGCGTTGTTAGGGCGTCTGTGCCGCTGACTGTGCTGGTGTTGATTGTGGGACGAGTAACAACTGGGGGAACGGGGGGAGGGAGAGAGGAGGGCAGGAGATAGAGGGGTCTCGGCGGCGCACTATACGGATGTCATTCCCTGCCAGCAGCGTTGTCAGGGCGTCTGTGCCACTGACTGTGCCAGTGTTGATTGTGGGCCGAGTAACAACTGGAGGGATGAATGGAAGGAGGGAGAACGACAAGAGAGGGAAGCGAGCAAGTCGAGACGAATAAACTAAGCGCCTCAAAAAATAAAAAATCACCACCAGCCTTCGCTTCGCTCCCCACCGACCCTCACACTTACACCCACCAACCACCTATCTTCCCCCTGCAACCCCCCCATTTCTCCACCTTCCCTGCGGAGCTCCGGAGGGGGGGACCGGCAGTATGGCGCTCATAAACACACTCCGTGTTCTAAGCCGTCACACAACTTCCCCCACTCCCCATTCCCCCCCCTACTCCCCCCTCCAATCCCCTTTCCACTCCCCATTTCCCCACCTTACTCCCATCCTCTTCCCACTCCCCAAACCCCCATTTCCCCACCTTCCCGTGCTCCCATCCTCTCCCACCCCCCAACCCCCATTTGCCCACCTTCTCTGCGTATCTCCGGGGGAGGCTCCGCCAGTATTGCGCTCATAAATACGCTCCGCGCCTGCCCCCACAGGTTCCCCTCCTGCCGCCCCGCGCCTCCGCCCGCGGAGCCATGTCTGGGAAAGGGGGGAGGTGCGCGCGGGCGAAGGGGGCATCCCCGGGGGAAGAGTGAGCCAGAGGGAGGAATGGGCGGGCAGAAAGGGAGGGAGGGACGGGGTGGGAGGGGAAAAGAAGGGGTGGGGGTTGGAAAGTCAGAGGAAGGCAGGTTAGGTCAAGGGGAGGGGAGTGGGAATGGGGTTCGGCGGAAGGAGGGGGCAGTGGAGGGGAAGGGGGAGCTTGTGGGAAGTGGACAGATAAGAAGAGCCGGCGGTGATGGCGGGATGCGCGGTAGTGTCAGATAGTATGTCAGGTGGTGTGTTAGGCAGATACTGTGTCAAATTCAAAGACTGTCAGTGCCACTATTGACACTTGAATTGTCACAAAGTCAGACACAACAATGACCGACTCAATGACTGACAATGACTGAAAATGACTGACAACGACTGAAAATGTCTGACAATAACTGAAAATGACTGACAATGTCTGACAATAACTGAAAATGACTGAAAAATGTCTGACAATAACTGAAAATGACTGACAACGACTGAAAATGTCTGACAATAACTGAAAATGACTGACAACGACTGAAAATGCCTGACAATAACTGAAAATTACTTACAAATGACTGAAAATCACTGACAATGAGAAATGACAGAAAATGACTGACAATTACTCATAATGACTGACAATGACTGAAAATGACTGACAATGACTGAAAATGACTGACAATGACTGAAAATGGCTGACAATGACTGTCAGACACAATGACCAATTCAATGATTGACGCAATGTCGGATGTCAGTCACAATGTCAGTTACAATGCCAGTTCCTATGTCACGTACATCAACCGACACCATAACTTACACAATGACGACACCGTGGCTGACATAATGAACGACACACTGTTAAACACATCGCTAGAAACTCAATTCTTCTAAGACTCAAAGTCCCCTGGGTGCTTCGAGCGTCTTAATGTCCTTCGCTACTCGACGAGTAACGCCATGTCGCAATCGCGTATATATTAAAAGTAATACAAAGTGGGTTTCACATGCGATGAGCATAGGGAATGTCATCCAGGACCAGACAATGCGAGGCAATGAGGCACTGCTAGCAAGTGTCATTACGAAACGATTTCGTACGTTGAACTAGAGTTGACCTCCTAAGAAGCTCTTAGTGAGCTCGACAACCTAATGTCACGCGCATTGCCCACCTTTGGTGATGCCTTCCGTCCATGGCGGTCTGTCGCTCTGAGGAAAGCAGGGAGACATTGCCTCGCTAGACATATTATTGGGGTCTTATATTTATATTCTCACGGAAGACAGCTCTCATAGCTCAGTTGGTTAGAGCACCCGTTTAGTAAGCGGGAGGTCTCGAGTTCGACTCTCAATGAGAGCACAATATTATAATCAGTTACACTTGATGTTCTTCCCTGTAGTGTCTCTACTTCTGGCTTGATACCTACCTCTGCCTGGAGAGTGTCTTTTTCTGGAGATCATAATCCAGTCCCATGTACTCAGGCGCCTACTTTAGTACAAGGTTTCTCATGTCTGTGGTCCAAGATTTGTAGCAAAGAGCAGAGGAAAAATGCAGTGGACCAAACACATGAATATATTCCTCGGATTGTGGGGTAGTTTTAGACACATACTACTGTATTAATAAAATTATAGGGTACCGTAGCTCTTGCCTGACCTTGATGTTGAGGTGAATATTGCTCTCAAAACAAATTTGAGCTTGACTCGTGCCTCTGATTTGCATGAGCAACACTTCACTCGTGATTCATGAAGCAGGAGAAACAAGAAACACGAAAGAAAACAGATTAGAGCACAACAAGATTCCAAATATCGGCTCTCATAGCTCAGTTGTACACGAAGAATGGTTAGAGCACCCGTTTAGTAAGCGGGAGGTCTTGAGTTCAACTCTCCTCTTACTGAGCATGTAAAGCAGGAGAACTACCCTGCTTTCTCTAGAGCAGTCTAGCAGACTCTAAAGCTTTCAAGTCTGGTTGCTGAACACGCCTCACAGGCTCCGAATACTTACATGAGGTACTTCCCACACAAATGTGTACGGAGTTGACCGAGTGAGTGGGTGATGGGTGGCGGTTCAAATGGATTTAACAGGAGCACATGCAGTACCTCTGTGCAGTTTTTACTCCCACGAGGAGCATGCATGGGGACAGCCCGAGTGAGCGGGACGTGGTGGGTTTGATGGATGCGTCAAAAACAGAGAAGAGGAAGGGGTACTAGCATGAGGAGGAGCATGAGGAAGAGGAGTGCGGGGAGGAACAAGTGGAGGAGGGAGAGGAGCAAGGGGAGGAGGGAGAGGAGCGAGAGGAGGAGAAACCAGTGGGGGAGGATGAGGAGGAGCACAGAGGAAGCTCAGCACTCCTTCATACATCCATCTCTCCAGCCAATCAGACTCTGCCACATCAGACCTCTTAATGTGCCTTCCCACCACATGACTTGCTTTGCTCATGCCACTGCCACTGCTAATCTTGCCACCGCTGCCACTGCTGCTTCTGCTGCCGCTGCTCGTGCCACTGCTGCTAGACTGCCAGGCAGCAGGGGTGTCAGCAGTGGCAGCAGCGCCAGCTCCAGTCAACTGACACCCACACATCCACTCACGCAACAGGCTCGGTGCTGCTGCTGCTGCTGCAGGGGGTGGCGCTCCTGCTGCTGGTTTTGATGCTCTGCCTCTCTCACCCTTTCTACCGTGTGTATCCCAACCAGTTGCCAAGGCATGGTTGCCAGAGCTGCCAGCTCGATGGCTAGGTTCGGATGCCGGGCCTGGGTAGGTTCTGAGGATGTTGAGAGCAAGGGCGTTGGTTCGGCAGAGAAGCCGAGGCTCATTGGGTGGAGAGAGCAGATGGAAAGTAGCTGTTGTGGGTGGGGAGGAAGAGGGGGGGAAAAAACTAGGCGCATACAAAAGTGAGACCGTTGGGTGGAAAAGCAAATGGAAAATAGCTGTTGTGAGAAGGGACGAGGAAATAGGAAGGGAGGGTAAGGTGGGGAGAGAGAAGGGAAAGCGAAGCATTGGGAAGAGGTGGAGAACGGTGAAGAGGGAAGCGGTGACACCAGCCAAGCCCTCAAGCACCCACAAGCCACCATCTAAGAGGGCAAACGCCCCACAAGCCCCCAGCTCACATCTCAGTGCCTTCAAGCCCCCAACTCACATCTAAGCCTGCTCAGCACGTCGCCTTTCACCCGCGAGTCTCTCAAGTCCAGACAGAACATGCCGTCCAGGGGCACCGTAGCGCTCAGACCTGCATGAGAGGGGGGAAAAGGTTGTGGGATGGGAAGCGAGTCACTCTGGCTGTTCTTAAAAACAGTAGAAATTCTGTGCAGGCGCCTCACGAAACGCACCTAGCAGGTGTGTGGCTCCCCCTGTCCACAGGCGTCCATTGCAGCCACAGGGAAACCAGACACGCCACTCCAACTGAAGTAAAAAGCAATCACGATTCTGTTCAGGCGCCTCAAGAAACTCACCTAGCAGGTGTGCGGCTCCAGCCTTGTCCATTGCGGTGCCTTGCAGCCGCAGGTAGACCAGACAGCACTCACGCCACTCCGACTGCTCTTGACTGTCAACCTCCTCCTGCTGCTGCTGCTGCTGCTGTGGATACTGCAGGTGGCTGTTGCTCTGGTAGTGACTGCTGCTGCTGCTGATCCTGGTTCAGGCGAAATCGCTTTGCAGTAAAGGAAGTGTGTGGGCTAGAGTCAGCAGCTGGCGTTGTGTGTGTGGCCGCCTCCCACCACGGGCGCTTGGCTGTCAGGTGTGCAGTGGAGATGGGAGTAATTGCAAACTGATGGAGTTGTGCAGTGTGCAGTGGAGATGGGAGTACAGAAGCGGATGAGCAAACTGATTTGAATCTACTTCGTTTCCACAATAATTGGTGCTTAAATTGCTTAAATTGCTGGATAGAAGTGCAGCAGAGACGGATCATTGAGGTGGATGAATGGACAGTTGAGCAAAGAGTTTCACATCATATCTCCCTCTTCCGCCCATCTGTTTTCCAGAAATCTTGTTCAGCACTGTTCTTCCACCCCACCGGCATTGTTCTACACCCTTTTATTTATACTCGGCTCGCAACCTCAATCACAATCCCCCTTCTCCTTCCACCCACCTGCCTTCCGCGCTTCCGACTTCCGAGAAGCTTCCTGAGCGTTGTCCCGCCACCCCTTTAGCCGCGCACCATAGGTGAGTGAATCGAGGAACGAGGCGGTGACTGCTGTGCGACTGAGGTCCAAATGCCGCAGAGAACCAATCCCTGAGGAGGAGTGAAGGGGAGGGGAAACAGGGGACATGGTGAACGTTATGTGAATCGAGGAACGAGGCGGCGACTGCAAAAGCACACAGAAGAAAAAGCCAGTCGTGGAAGACATACATTGCTAATCTTTGAAACGTTTGAAAAATGAAACTGGTGGACGAATTCCTTCACTCAAGTCCAGCTTACAGGGGATGACAGCAGAGGCAGTGGCGTTGTTGACTTGAGGGTTGTGGGAGAGGTCAAGACATGTGAGCGACGGGAGGTCTGAAGGGGAAGAGGGGGGTGGGGGAGGGGGGGAAGCGGATAACAGCAGAGGCAATGGCCGTTGACTTGAGGGATGCGCGAGAGGTCAAGACATGTGAGGTCAAGAACGGCAAAGCGGGGTGAGAATTGAGTTCAGCTGAGGAAAAAAAAAAAGGAAGGATAAGGGACAGAATAAGAAGCGAAAATACAAGAGTTACGAAAACATGATAGGCGAGGGAGATTACCCAGTACCCTTCATTCAAGGGGAAATGGCAGGTGGGAGGGTAACGTACAACAGAGCATGCTGATTTTTGAGGCGCCTCAAAGATAGGCGAGGGAGATTACCCAGTACCCTTCGAGAGGAAATGGCAGGTGGGAGGGTAGCGTACAGCAGAGCATGCTGAGAGCTGATTGGTGGAGAGACGTGCACGCGGCAATCCCAAGGCAGGAGAGGCGAGGCAGCGCTGTGGGATGGGAATGGTCGTGGAAAGGGGTTGGAAGGGAAACACTGTTATTGTGAGAAATATCATGCTTCTGAGCGAACTACTACACTCTCCTTCAGAATGACTCGTTTGACAAGCAAAGAAGAACGACATGCTCTTAAAATCAATGGCAAACTTACCGCTTAGCGGCTTGAGGACCGTGAGAAAGCGACTGTCGCTCAGATTCACGCGACGCAGCGACGACGCGAACGCAGCTAGTCTTTCCAGCGGGAACCGCGCCGGAAAACTCGCCGGAAATCCCGCCAGAAATCTCGCAGGATGCTGTTTAGATAAGTCGCCAGTGAGGTTGAGGTATTCGGGCTGCCAGAAGCCAGCGCGAGCGAAGGCGTCTATTGCGGCGAGCTCGAGGGGTCGGGGGAGGACGGAGTACACGAGGCGCGCTAGTCCCGGCGGTAAGACGCGGAGATTAGCGGCAAGTGCGGAGACGTTAGCAGCTACGGCCCGAGCCGCGAGATCGAGAAGCGGCGGCGGGAAGGAGGTAGAGGGGGACGGAGAGGAATGGGAGGAACGGGGAGGACAAGGAGCAAATAAGGGAAGATTCGCGACAAAACACGCCATTGGTGGGTGGCTAGGAATTGTAAGGGGTGCGTGCGTGGTAGGCGCGTGTGGGTACCGTAGCAGAGCGATAGTTCCTCCTGGATTCAACTGAGCCTTGGCTGCCTGTTTCAGACCGCGATATCACTACCTCGCCGCGCCTCGCCTCGCCTCAACATGGCTTGATCGATGAGCTTGATTGAAGCGTGCTGATTTGAGTCGACCCATCAACAAGTCACAAATTTGAAGCCCGATGGGAGGGAGGATGTGTATGCGTGTCGACAAGAGTCCGGCTTAATGCGGTTCAATAAGTTGTTTCTTTGCTTCTGAACGTTTTGTGTAGCTTTTAAGACGGTTGAAAATGGTTGCGACAGAAGCATGTTTCCTGGAAATGGCACACTATTTCCACAGACCGTCACCGCTCCTCACCCATATGCGCTTACCTTCGATATTGGCAATTTGTCACGAGTACTGAGTGCATCACCTTTTTGTACCCATTGCTAACACCATGATCAAATGCTGTTCAGAGAGCTAGCCATACCTACACACAGGTTAAAAACTTATGCTCTTCAAGGAGTGGGTGGGCAGCGAATTAGTAACACTACAGTGACCTCAGGAGGTCGTATAGAGTAAGAATATCTCATAGAATGCGAAGGCCTCGAAAGACATGCTATGGACGAGAGTAAGCAACAATATCTACAACTTCTACCTATAACTAGGCTGCTGCAGCAAGCAGAGCCATCAACTTGCTAGCCACAGCTCTGCCACGAGGCATCAAGACTGAACTAGGCTCATCCCCAAATTAGGGGCTCAAAATCCATCGACTCAAAAACCGTGAGTCTCGCTGTCAAACCCCTTCTGCGGCTGCCAGTCCAGCATCTTTAGCACTTCGATCTCACATGAAGCCAGACGCGATACAGGCACCTTCGCTACAGCAGCAACCGCTTTCGCTTTTGGTACATTTTTCTGGTTCTCCTCGTTCTTAGCCGCGACCCACAGACACGCGGCCAGCAGCACGCGCAGCGACTCCGCCGCCATATCCGTCGGCTGCAGCCGCAGCAGCACACGCTGTAGCATGTGGAAAGCCAATGCGCGAACGGTGGGTACTTGGAGGCCCAGACGCGACTGCCACGTCAGCAGCACGTGGCGCAGCCGCGCGGAAGCAGTCTTGCCCAGCTTTCCCCGCGCAGGCTCAGCACCTGGCGCCGCTGCCGCCGCCTCTGCCGCCGAAGTTGACGGAAATTGCTGTTTCTCGTACGCCTCATACGGCCTCTTTCCTAGACCTGCCCCAGCCGTCGTCGCTGCAACATCAAATTGCTTCACCTGGGTGCCAGGCTCGCTAACAAAGGGGAGAAACGCCGACGCTGCTAGCGACGCGTCGACGCCACTCGCTCCCTGCACCCGCTGGCGCTTGCTCTGCGTCTCGTCGACCGGAATCAGCGGCGGGACTGCACAGCACGATCCGCGGGACTTGCTAGTATCGTCCGTTGCATCAGTGTGAATTCTGCGCGCCATCCCCCCGGCGGAAGCCCCTTCGTCAGCGGAAAGTGGGAAGAGAGACAGGGTGAGTGGGCTGTGTTCACGCTGCTGCTGCTCCTGCTGCTCCTGCCACGACTGCTGCTCGCAGGTCCGATACGACTCAGCTTCCTCTCGCCGAATCAAATTCTCTGGTCGAGACGACCCATACAGCACGTCTTGGGACGGTACACTGAAGAGCCCTTCCCGGGGCCTCTTCTCTCGCGGTAGCTGGTTGACGAAATCCGTCGAACGGAAAGCGTCAGACTCCGTCGTGAGGACGCTAACCGGGGAGTTATCGTCAAGCTGCGTCGCAGTCGCCGCCTGAACAAGCCCGTCCCCCACTCCTGTCACGAACCCCCGGCGGGCCGCCGGGCGCGGGAGATGCGTCATGAGAGGCGGCGCGGCAGCGGAGTTCCCAAGGGAGAAAGTCGAGCTAGCGTTCAGGAACCCGTGCAGAAGTTGTTCAGACCCAGACGTCAGTCCTTCAGGCAAAACGCTACCCGTAGCGGCTGGTAAGCTGTGCGGGCACGACCCAGACATCTGCACGCTGGTAACCAGGTTACCCACGTTCGTTGCAGGGAATCCCGTGGACGGCCAGAGCAGAGGCAGCATGCAGGAAGCGCAGATGCAAGGGGGAGTGGCGGCAGTGGATGCGGGGAGGCCGCAGATCTGCATGGTCGTGGGGGCGGCGCAGCAGCGGCAAAGGACGGTGCGCACGTGCCTGTGCACGATGGTGTTGGCGCTATGCACGGCGAGATCGCACGACGCGCAGAGATTTGCGCTGTCCGCGGGGCAGTGGACGGTCGCGGGTGCCGGGCACAAGGCGCAAACGGCGGAAGATGTCATGGTGGAAGCTGTACGCGACGGTAAGGAGAAGGCTGATGGGAGAAGAGTGGGAACTACGGAATGTGCGGGAAAAACTGACATATTTTCTAGGTGAAGTACGAGTCGATGCAGTACAAACCTAGAGGTAGTGGAGCGTATCCTGTGGGAGATAGCAGAACAATGCGTTGGAATGCTTCTGGAACTAGAAGAATGCGTTGGATGTCGAGGTTTTTGAAACGGCGAGAAGGCGAAACAGCGGACTTTATTCTAAATGCGCGCGGACTACGAGGTTGAGGAGACAACAACTAGAGTGCCAAGGCGAACGAAAGACGGAAAATGTGGAGCACGGAAGGGTGGCGTGGCGTGGAGTTGATGGTTTGTTGGGAGTTTGCGGCTGAGCAAGGGATCGGATGCGAAAAAGGGGGCAGGGGTTGCGTTGTGTGTCTCAGGGTAGGAAGCAATGTGAGGCAGGGGCAGGAGAGGCGTGGTGGAAGTAGGCCTAGGCAACAATAGCAAGGCATACAAAGGGAGGCACAGCAAATGCAAGCAAGATTCAGAGCAACTCGCATACTCGCATTTCGCCCCTGGGAAATATCTGTGGTCGTCGTGTTCCGTCCGTCCCGTGCCAGGTTTTCTTTCACCAACACCCAATCCCCGATTTTTCTGGTTTTGGCGACCCACGCGACGCGTCGCTGTGGCTGATGGCGCGCAGGGCAGATGGATTCGAGCGGCTTGAAATGTCTGGGAATATCAAGGCATGGAGAGAGACAGGTCACCGCTTCAGCACGGGCCTCGAGTGATTCTCGTTTATGGTTGGTCGGTTTTACGTCAGTTGCCACGGTGTAGGGAGAATGGAGGCGAGAGCTGACTATGGCCACATGACGAAGAAGCTCTCCTGCGGTCGCACGTGACACAGGGCAGTGAACACAAAGCATTTGCTGGACACAAGAAAAAACACTTGTAAGCACTGTAGAATTCAAGGTTCACTTCCAGCTCAGTTCATGGCCTGAATTCGCCGGGTGCTGTACAGTAACGCACTTTGCTGCCGGATCACGATGAAAAATGTGAGAAAATGCATTCGCGTGGCTGTGGCGACTCATTTTCTGTTCTGTTCTGTTCAGACGACACGTCCCCGACTTCCCACCCGCAGACTTGACCCCCTCCTCCTGTGATGTCTGGCTTGGGGCAGGAAGCAGCCACATCAGCAAGACACATGGATGAAAGGATTCAGCCACAAGGGTTGCTTGCATTGCACCTGGTTGAGTTGGGGAAGCAATGCAAAACGTGATCACCATCTAGGTGCGTGGAGTGGGCAGGGCAGGGCATCATCTTCCCCTCGGCAACATGTTCTTCGTGGATGTGATTGGTTCACACCATGCACACAATGGTTAGTCAGCAGTACGAATTTATGAAAATGTTGCCCCATTTAATTCTAACAATGGAATCTTCTGACTGTGTGAAAGTATTCAGGCTTGGCCGTCCTCGGATTGAGCATCCCAATGGTAGAAAATGCTAAGTTGGAAAATGTACACGCTGTTACAGCGAACCCAGAAAAGTTTTCGCCCGTTGCAACCTGTTGGATCTGAAGTGAGATCCAGGAGAGGGAAACATTGCACAGCTGCTTCACACTGTGAACCTGCCGAATGTGATATCGACGTGTCGTTGGACAGCGTAATCATGAGATCATATAATTTCAAACCATTCTTTTCTGACACTCAAGATCCACTCCACACGATGAAGCCGCTATAATGTGCTCGCGTGGATTCAGCTGTCAGGCATGAGGAGGGGAGAATTCTGCCCCAACACAGACTTGTGGAAGAGGAAAAAGGTGAAATCATAAAATCAAAGGTGACGTATGCCAGAAGCAAAAAATCACCGAAGAATTCACGAGCCGTGGTCGTAGATCCTTGCAGAAGCAGCAGCACCAGGCGAATCAATAATGACCTCTCAACGCGCGACTGGTTACTGCTGCCACCTGTCGGGGCTCACTCATTCTGATAGGCGCAGATGGCACTTCCCACAGGCATCCTGGGGTGTGAATCTCCAGAGTCCACGGACAAAGTAGCTCCAGCATGCTAGCAACAAATATCAGGAACCTCGTTCTGTGGCGGAGATTGAGCAGAAAATATCGCACTCCAGTAACAGCCTTGTTGTGACTCAACGACCACGAGCCTCAACCCATTCCAACGGGAAAAACGTAAGAAAGCGACGTCCACTCTACAAAGCCCACGTGTCGTAAATTCTCAAAAGGCAGCAGTCAGTTGTCCAGCCACAACCTCAAGACGTTCAAACGAGTTACCCCATATCGAATTTACATATCGAACTGAGATCCACTTACCGTATAACAAGAACTTATTGGATTCTGTTTTTACATCCTCCCTCAGCTAGAGTACGGAAATAGATGGGAACTCAAGTCTACTGCCTCCAGTGAGGGATGCGCCTTCTCTATCACTCCCTCCATATTTTGGAAAGTTCCATTCCATAACCATCACCCACACACACACACACACATTTACATGCACGATTGAGCTCCTATCTGTTTCAAATTGAGAATGAGGGAACTTGCAAGGGATAATTTTGACAGACCTCCAGTGAATATCATGTCGCAGCTGGAAGAGCAGAACTGTACACATAACAAAACCATAATTTCCCTCATTGCACCCACTACAGCCGCAACACGT